GTCTTCCATATGAAGCGATGCGAGGCCCAAAGCGTGATCACGGCTCGGACACATGGAAGACACAAAAAGGTCCAAGACCAACGAGCCAACACACGATTCTAGAAAACCTCGTGACCGTGCACAAAGAGGTCGGGGAAAGTTCATCGCATCGTCAGGATATAACGACCCTTGCGGCGACCCAAACAGGAAGTATGACCCGGAACCCACGGCTCGGGGGCTCGTTGCAACCATAGGGGAAGCCTAAGAATTTATAGATACAAGAGCGGCCATACCGCTAAAACACCAAGGGCGGGCATCTTCTCGATGGTGATGCTGACTGACAACCCAAGGTCGAATAACGCAGAGGACGCACAGGCAATGCATACCTCACCTACTCCTCAGCGAATGGCATGACCTTGGGGACCACATGCCAGGGGAACTATTGCCATCCCTTCAACAACAAAGGGATCTCGGCTATCACGGGAAAGCGAAGCGCAGACGGGACATCATCCTGATCCGTTCAACACGGACAGCATGGTAGGGCCGTGCAACTTTGTCCTCCCCTACTCCATGAGTAGTCCTAAATAGACGTTGGGTGAACCTTTAGCGGGATCCCGACATGATGTTGGACAACGTGCGAAACTCAGGGAGAAGCCAGAAATGCCTCTGGCCATCGCACATTTCAAGCACATGAACCACCAAGGTTCAGGGCAAGAACTAGCGATGGGGTAGCAGACCGATGTGGCATATGACCTGACTCGGTGGCCACACTACCTCTCAGTCCCTAGCTCACAAGTTGCCTTCTAGCACCAGTTGTTGGGAGGGGCGAAGCCAGCCTCTAGCCACCACAAATGATCCCTAGTGGATCACATGCTTGAAGCCCCATGGTTCCCTTTAGATTTTTCTCTCCTTCCTTCCTCTTAGACTTAGCCTCCTAGAGGGGCTAAAACCAAGTTCACAGAAGTAGCTGAAGGTGCCTTAAACGGTAGAAGGGTCCCTATTTATAGGCCCAAAGGTAGACTGAATAGCCTGAGATCCCCGTGCCGTGTGGCGAACCACGGGAGGTCACAGCGAATGTCAGATGCTCGCGTGAGGTTAGGGGAATCGAGACCCTCCTAGAAATAGGGCCAGTATAGCATCGATGAGACCACTCGACTCCACTTGGGTCACGAACCCTGATACGCAACACACTAACACGGCAGGGCTCAACAATCAGGTACCACATTGTTAGGACATCCTGACGGGGCGGAACATAAGGCCACTTACCGCATTGAGCGCACCAGCCCACAAGGGGTCGAGCAACGAAGCTCGGACAGACCACGACCACGAACCCATACTCAACGAACACGCATCTCAGCGCTTTCATGATTACTTCGTGATCGTAAAAATGCTTGGGGCTACTGTCGGGGTTATGATCCCCGGGTGTCTCAAGGCAACGATTAGTTAGCAGGCCGAGCAGCCTGCTATACATCAGCAAGCAAGGGCCCGAACGACCGAGGCCCAGCTGATCCAAGAAAACCAGGCCAGGTGCTAAGGCCAAGTCAGCCACGACCCCTTCATTAGACTTGGCTGCATGACGCTCGAGAAACTCATGACCTCTCCACATTCCTGACCCCTAGTAGGAACAAGGAGAGGTCGGACCTAGCCAAGCGTGCCTACTCCGATAGGAGTGAGCATGCCGCACTGACCCCGCAAGGACTGAGGGGACAGTAGCCACCTTGGTCCGGTCAGACGCCATCCCTGTGCCACATAGCTCAGACGAGACAACACCGCCCAGCGGTGAGAGCCGATATGGTGCCCACCGTCTAGATATGGCTCGACAAGACGAATGTATGATTCTACCCACTAAGTGATGGTATCCATGATGGAGGCCTTGACTTAGAGGCCACCTGCTCCACAAGCCAACCAGGCGACCAACGACCAGGGGGTGGCCACCAAGTCTTGTACGGCTCCCCCAGGAGACCAAGAAGCGATGATGAAGGCCACGGTAGAGACCACGTCGTGTAGGACAACTGATGAACCACCACCTTGCCAACGGTGCTGCCATGGCTAGCACAGTGGTGCCATGCCACACCTTACTGCGACATGGGCACAAGACCATGACGACAACCACGCCTAGACATGCACCATAAGACAGCGTAGCTTGCAAGCCAAGCTAGATAGGCCCCTCCCTCAAGCTTACGACCCCTCGGTCGGGAGAACCTCCTTCTTTGTACATGCCCTGGCCCCAAACTCTATATAAGGGCAGCCAGGGCACCCTCTCTGAGGACATTCTCTCATTCTACATATCTCTAGACTCCTGAAGCTTCCCTTCAGGCAGTTCATCATCTAGCTCTAGCCCTCCTACCTCTTCCACCATTCTTACACCCCCCATTGTAAGAACTTTGGAGCATTCAAGCAAGGAACACACACTCAATCATCTCTGAGACTAGACGTAGGGCTCTGGCCTGAACCAGTATAAATCCTCGTGTCTTTTGGATGCTACCATCGTCTTCCTAGAACAACACGACAATATTACAAATTTAATAGTCTGGTTTACAAAAACACCGACATCGCTATAAAGAACTCCTTATAGACAACAACCTCGTTGCCATGAGGGTCTAGAACAACTTCCCCTTTCGACGGCCTTGCAAGGTCACGAGGGAACCAACCCATCTTCACGTACTCATCCAATTCCTTCAAGGTGACCCTCGAAGGACCAAACTCAAAACTCACAGCTACATCTGACGAAGAGTCAATAGCCTCAGAGCTATCAATAGGCCTCGCAGTCCTCTTCATATGAGCCATCAAGCTACAAAACAAAAACACAAAGACTCATTAGCACAAACAATAGCGAAGTACACTTAAAACAAAAAACAACTAGCACTCACCCAAAAGGAAAAAAGGCGGTAGACGGAGCAAGCAAACAACAAACCCTCGACCAAACCAACAATCCTCGCACTAGCACAACCCTCACTCACTAGATACAGCAGCAGCAACTAGCCAGAAAACAAGAAGTGGAACAACAAAAAACCCTAAAACCTACCACAACTATTTATAGGTGCCCCCACGACCACTGGAAAGGAATGTGTGCATCCCAAATCCTGAGAAAATAGGGCATCGACGGCCGCCACAAATCCCAAGAAAAACATGGAGCAACCCTCGACAATCGCGCGTCACATCAAACCTTAAGTAGCACCACCATCTAAAAATAGTGCAACCTCACCCCTAAACTACGGGCCCAAAACAGTTAAAGCCTAGCATTGGCCAAGCAAAATGGGGGCGTCGCTGGGCCAGGCGGCAGGCTAGGCACCCTTGCCTACCCCCTTCCACGAGTTTCAATGTTGCTCCGACCCATCATGCTGGGCTCGACCCTCGAGGGGCTACTGTTGGGGGAAAGCTATCCAGGCACAGCTCCTACCCTAGCACTCGACCATCTGCTGGCTTCGACAAGATTGCCTCGCGGCGGGTATCCAACCTCGCCGCGAGGGTTTTCTGTTCATAATGATTGACCTGTGTTTTCAGGTGTCGCGTGCGAAGGCCCGCCTCTTCGATCGAAGGACCACTTGCGGAGAGGCGCTAATGATGGCAATTGATGAACCTCGCCGGGACACGCTGAAGGTTGGTGCCGACCGCAAAGAGGAAACAACCTTGAAGGCGGCGGTGGCCCCATCACGATGGCTGGGGTTCAGGGTAGTTGGCCAAGGGAAGGAGTTTACCGCCGTACCCTTGGCCATTGTACAACAATTGTCTTTTCCAATGTAACCCTAGCGTAATTTCACCGCGGCCCGGGTGTGGTCTATAAATACTCGGGGCGCTCGTGTAAGAAAATGGGCTCTTCTTTCCTGAACAATTTAATGGGTATTTAATCCGCATTTACGCTTTGTCTCGTGCTCTGTAACCTTCGCTCATACATTCACCGACGCCCACTCGATCTTCTCCCTGTGGGAAACCCTCGGCCTCTCCCTGCGCGATCCTCAGCGAGGGCGAGAGGTCAGGAGTGACCCCACACACGGGCACATTTGCTAGTACTTTATAAAAAGGCAAAATTTCTACCTCTTTTTTTGTCTAGGCTGTTTTCGTCTGGCCCAGTCTAATGTAGGCTAACAGTCTGGTTCGCAGCCCACTCGCTTGTGGCCTTCTCCACTCACTTGTAGCCCACTGGCTCACGGCCCACTCCAACCACGGTTCCAAAATTTGCTCATGCCCCACTCCAGCCAGCCATAGTAGTCTGAAAAAATCCCCGCAACCTAAAAAATGCCACTTATGGGATTCGAACTTGGCCACCAGGATTGCAAACAAATTACCTACCACCGCACTACAGGAGACTACGGCTCTGTTTGTTTCGCTGAAATTTGGCTGCTACTGCTGATGCTAATTCCTTATTAGAGAAAAACATAGTTTCCGTTGAAGAAGTGCTGAAGAACAGCATGTACGTGTTATCTAACAATACCTTTATGTATTTACCCGGTAAAACTTCTGCCATATAATTTTCCCTTCCGTTTGATTTTTTTGTTGGCCTTCCGTCCGATTCTTTATTTAAGATTTCTTTTGCTTTTGCTTTTTGCATCCGTTATCCTCGTAGGTGACTTTTTCCATTGATTTTTCTTTAAAAAATAAATATTATGGACCTTTGAACAGTTGATTTTTTCTCTAAGAATTTTTTTTCTATTGTCAAGTTGTTAACGTAATTTGATTAGAAACATATTCATATTCAAACATGATGGCAGAACCTTACCGTGTTTGAGATCTCAGATGTAAAGGACAATTGGATTGTCGTCGAAACTTGTCGGTAAGTGGTAGAGGTTCACTGGGTTTTGCTCCATTTGGATGCAACGACGAACAATGGTTGCCCACAAGAACATAGCAATTAGGAAATATCATTTTTATTGAATTGTCAAACACGGAGCCGTCACAAAATGACAAGAGTAGGAGACACAAACAAAATCAGCATCAAACATCATTGACCAACTATAAAAGAACACACAAAAAAAAGAAACCGACCATCGTGAACATGCATTGTGATCGATGGATTTGTGACTCTACTTGTCGCCGTACGTGTCCTTGAGATAGCCGATGAATTCGTACACCTTCTCCGGCGGGTACAGGTTCTTGGCGACGCTCTCCCTCTCGCCGCAGCGCTTGGCCCACGCGAGCAGCCTCGGGCACACCTCCTCGACGCTGAACTCCGCGAGCCGGCCGTATCCGAGGAACCACGTCGCGAACGGCACGACGGCGATGTCCACGAACCCGAACGCCTCGCCGGCGAGGTAGGCCTTGTCCCCGAGCTCGGCGTCCAGGGTCCGCAGGGCCTCCACCATCTCCGGCCGCGCCTGCGCCTGCGCCTGGCCCGTGCGCTTCCACAGCGTGGTCCCGCAGTCGAAGACCTTCTTCTCCGCGTAGTCGGCCCAGAACCTGGCGTGCGCGCGGGCGAAGGGGTCGGCGGGGAGCAGCGGCGGCGTCCCCGGGAACGCCTCGTCGAGGTAGTGCAGGATGATGAGGGACTCGCAGACGGGGGCCGCCCGTCGTGGAGGAGCACGGGGATCTTCTTGTGGACCGGGTTGACGCGCAGGAGGAGCTCGCCCTTGTTGGAGAGGTCCTGCGGCAGGGACTCGTACGCCAGGCCTTTCTCGGCCAGAGCGATGCGGCACCGCTGCGCGAACGGGCTCACCCAGAAGTCCAGCAGCTGGAGCCCCGTCTTCTCACCCGCCATTGCTGCCTTGCTCCGTCCGATGTTTTCTTCCTGTCTGTCTCTGTGTATGAGCGTCTACTGGGAGGGAGAGGATGATGGTATGCCCATGGGAAGGAGGAGACGGTCAGAGGACGGAGAAGAGGCTGTCGCATGCAAAAGGCGCGCTACTGTCACGGCTTGCGTCATGGGTAGGCGCCTACAAAGTGGCTGGCGTGGGTTCAGGCAGCACAGACCAACATGCGACCACATTGCCCGCAGAGGATCAGGGGCTCGGCAGCGAGATGCGACACAGGGTGACGCCGGCTCGTTGTCGAACGCAGGCTGCTGCAGTGCTGCTGCGGACTCCGCAGTCTCCACGCGCTCGTTGGAAGATCGATCATCGCTACTCTACCCAGGGCCAAACCATAGTCAAGGTTTTGTCACTATGGACACTATAGACAGCAACATGCAAATTGGCAAAAAAAAATGTGTACTCTGGTTATATTTTCTGTCAAGGTAACTTTTTCCAGCCGCATTAGGTGACTTGGCACGGTGATCTCAAGCCTTGGATATGGTTTGTACTTTGTACAGATTACCATTCATAATGGTTTAACGTTTTAACCCACTAGTCTTGATCGCTGTCGATTGGTTTGGATATTTTGTAGCGTGTTAATTTAAAAAAAAAAAAGTCATATGATCTTCTTTATAATTAAAAAAATATTCCTAAGGTGCTGTTTGGATATTGGAAAATGTAGGGTGGGATTATAGGGAAATACATGTGCAAATAGGTTTACTGCATGTAAACAAGTAGCAAGGTGCAAAAAGATAGTGGATGGTTATGCAAAATGTTCTTAGAAGCATCTTAGCATTTTTAGGACTGATATATGCAAATTTTTAGAATTAATACCAAGCCTTTGTTCATCCAAAAATTCATTATACTAGGAAAAACAAAAAAGAGTCTCTCAAGGATGAAAAGTCTAAGGTCCGCAGAATTTACAAAGCCCATATACCTTATACCATGCTTTTAGTGTAATCTTTCAAGATTTATTCTTACAATTACATGGTACTAGGTAGCGTGTCCGTACATTGCTACGGGATAGCTAACATTTTGTACTAAAAATACACGGATCGCACAATAAGATAACAATGTTGTAAAAATTAAATACCAACGTTAAAGTGGCATTTAATCCAAAAAGCAAAGTTTATGAATTTAACACAGTCACGGAGTGCGCGGCGTCGCAGGCTCACAAACTCTACTTTATAGACATTTTCGTGATGCGGCTAAGATAATGTTTTATATTAACAGAAAGAAATCTCCGATATCCATTTCTTTCGTGCTCACAAACTAATGACCCTGGTGTAACAATGGAAAATACAAAGGAGCTACCCTCCTGAATGCGCGGAACCAACGCCACTATGATCGTGCCATCCCACGACCACTGGTATGGTGTTGTTTAGCACTATTGTTCATTATTATCGCTAACTTGTTTCGTTGGTTTTATTCAAGTAATTTATGTTTATAATTATGCAGGTGCTAATTCGGTTGATCACACATTGGCACATGAGAAAAGTGGGGAAAGTCGACAAAACTCATGGTTTTGAGAACATACATGTGTAATAGTTATGAATGGTTACAAAATGAAATATTATGAACAAAACACTCAAAGTGTCATTTTTATAACAATAATATAACACATGTTCATTTTTTATTATGCCATCACACAAGTGTATATACAACATCTCCGTGTAGAGTCTGATAAACCATTTAAAAATACTTAGGAACAGCAACAAATATGACATTAGTGAGATATTATTTGTACAATATAAATTGAATGGAAAAAATGCATTGTATGCGTTAGTAATGTTTTGTTACCTCGCCTATGGCGTTAGAACCTCCTTAAATATAATATTCTTCGTGAAAGTTCCATCCGCTATTGGGGTCTTCTTATCCTTATCTTTTTTATTTGATGCATTCTTATTTTTTTTCCCTCGGCATTCTTTTTAGCATTTTTCTTCTCAATCTTTTTGGCATCCTCCTCTTGTGCCTCCGCATCAGGTGGGAGGGCAAGGATCTTAATATTGTTTCTTGACGTGGCTCTAGACATCGCAACGTACAACTGACCGTGAGAGAACACTGGTGCGGGTAGGTACACACCCACGTTCGGGATAGTTTGGCCCTATGACTTGTTGACCATCATGGCAAAGCTCAGCCTAATAGGAAACTACTTCCTCTTAAACTGGAACGGGAACATTTCGTCATCAGACGGGCATAGCGGTATTCGAGGAAGGAATACCTGCTTCCCATCATGCTGCCCCACCACGATTTCAGTGTCGATTGTATTTCTTCGGAACCCCCGCACCACCAGCCTTGTACCGTTGCATAGCCCATTGGCAGGGTCAATATTCCTAAGCAATATGACATGACACCCAAGCTTGAGCTTCAAGACGTGTGGAGGCAGCCCGTTGGAGGTCAAACTATTAAGGAACTCCGATGGATAGTAGTTATGTGGATCATCTACCGCGGAGTCAAAACTGTGATACACCGTCTCACCGCCCTGGAACATATCAATCATTTTTATATTGATCATGTCCACCCAATCGTTACGTGTAGATAAAATCGCTCTAGTGGTGATGTAGTCTTTGTCTGCCATGTTTGCATTTAGATCTGGAAAGATGATGTCGATCAATGTATGAAGATCTTTCTCGGCATATCCAGAGTATGGGACACATATCTCGTCTGGAATACATACATTGCCATCTTCGTTAACCTCTTCTGTTCCACCACCAATGCGTAATAGATAATCTGCAAACCACGAGTCACTCTGAGCCCTCATGTTGCGGACGAGCTTTAGGTGGCGCATGGATTCCTAAAGATACGACCTTCGTAGAGAAGCACCGACTATTTGAGCTCTGGATCCTTTCCGCACAATAGGGAGGACTTGTCTAAAATCCCCACCAAGTACAACAGTCTTTTCACCAAACGGTAGGTTTGATCGGCCCATTATATCCCGTAGGTTGTTGTCTAGTGCTTCCACATTTTGCCTCTTTGTCATAGATGCCTCATCCCAAATTATGAGAGATGCTTGCTGCAGCAACTTGGTAGTACCACTCTATTTCGTGAAGCTACAGCAACCGCCCTCTTGAAGAGTGAGGGGTATCTTGAAACACGAGTGGGCTGTCCTCCCACCTGGCATTATGGTTGTTGCGACTCCAGATGTAGCTGTAGCCACGGCAAGCTTGTCCTGGCTGCGTAGTTTTGCGAGAAGTGCCCTATACAAAAATGTCTTTCCCGTCTCGCTAGGTCCATCCACAAAGAACAACCCGCCTTGTTTGCTGTAGACAGCGGCCATTATCTCATCATAGGCAGACCTTTGCTCGGCGTTGAGTGAGTCACACAATAGCACATCTTCAGGATTCTGATCAATGCTAGCTTCCTCAAATATCTCACGAGGAATATAGCTGGCATCGTCGTATGAGTGATCAATATCTGGAAGAGGAAATGACCTTATGTCCTTCCCCATAGACTGTAGCATGTTTCTAATGTCTATCAAAACCATTTGTTGCACCAGATCCGGGGATGGATGATTGCGGCTGTAGTCCTTTGACATTGCATCATAGTGTTTTTTCACAACCCCATCACATCATGCGGCTCGTAGAATACCAATATTGTTGCAAATAGCCTCCGCATAGAGGAAGGCATCTAGAATAAAGTTGCTTCAGTTAGACATTCATCCAGTGTATTGTCTTCTTCGATTAGACCCCTCTTTTCTGCAGCTTCACGGAACAAAGGTAGTAGCACGCCATCAACCGTCCTCAGATGTTCATGTGAGGTAGCACCAGCAACATTGTTCAAGAGAACATGAAGAAGGTAACGTTCTCCCGAGATGACTCTTCCAACTTGAAAATGGAGTTTTTCCTTTTCTGCCAGAATTTACCATCAGACTGCTAGGTAAAATGCTTCGAGAAGTCCCGATACAAGATTCCACGGGCTTCCTCGTGATGCCTATTTGCATTGAAGTATGCTGTCAGCATTGACTCTTCTACACCTAGCCTATTAACGATCCATTCGACCTTATCCCATTTATGAACTGCCACCATGTGCATGCCGGGTAGATGAAGCTACAGCTGCTGTACTGGTGGATGGTTCTTGCTCAAGTCAAAGTCATATATCCTCCATAGTGCTTCTGGAGGCGTCACCCACCGGGCATCTCTATACTGCTTGATCTCATCAATGTTCCCTTTCTTGTCTGCTTTGTCGGTCTCTCTCATCACCACCAATGCCGTGTCATGTCCCTTGTATATGTATTTGAATAGATACTTTACTGATTTAATGCTCCCACAGGCCTCAACATTGATATGGCAGTTGAAGGTACGTAGCAAGCAAGGGTTGTAAGGCACGACACATTGATTGTCCAGGTAATGGCCTCGAACTTTTAGCGTGCGGCCATGATTGCGTCGCCGATAGATGGGGTATGAATCCTTTCCCTGTGACGTTGCCTCATAGAATGGGCGTGGGTAACGGTTCTTGCATGACCCGCGGCCCACCGTGCACGGACAATATGGATTTAGCATCCCGCAGGGACCATGCATCATATGCTTCATCACCATCTCGTAGAGTTCAGGGTACTTCTTGTTTGGTAGCTCTGCACTGATAATCATGTCACATTGCTCGGGACATGTGAGCTTGTACTTCCGTTCCATTATCAGCAAGAAGTGTGCATGCGACAAGCCCCTCTTCTGGAACTCCACTACATATACGTAGGCCTTCACCTTCCCAAGTATGTCTTTCTCCATCAACACTTTCCTCATCGCCTCTAACTTTGCTCTGAAGACCCGTGTGACTAGATCTGGGCGGTCCTATGGTGTCTGGCCTGGATAAAGTTCATTCTTAATCTCATCCTAGTTAGTATTGCACGTCATTGTGAGGAAGATATCAGGTTTACCATACTTTCGCACCAGAGCGATTGCATCCATGTATCGGCGCCTCATATCATGGGGTCCTCCGATGAATGACGAAGACAGGACAGTACGCCTTCCGACAT